AAGACTCCATTCAGTAGCAGCTCCTAAAAACAGAAATTATCACTAAGCGGTCATAAAAACGCTGAAAGCAGAAGTCAATTAATTCACTATTTCAGATATTAAAATTGCTGCTAATTTTGAATCCAAAAGAGCTACTATAGAAAATGCTTTAGTGTCCTATTGTAATCATTAATCATTTCGAGTCACACCAGAATAATTTGACGGGTCTGATTTGAAAGGTGAATACTTCATTATTTTGGCACCAAGTCATTTAAGCAGCTAAACATTCAACGTCAAAGCAGTTAACGTCATCAAAAAAAAACGTCACAAATATTTGTCTGGTTCTAGACTAATCCGGATCATAAAAAGGAAGCTGATTTAGCCGCGTATTTAAAAACTAGAGCAGTGCTCTTTTATGCCGTGTTATTAGCTATCTTATTTTTGATATCGCATTTTAACAATTTCTCTGAAGCATCGATTTTAGTTTAAATTAACTTAAATTTAGGAATTATGTCTCCCCCGTATTCGAAAAAAGGTGAAGGATCCAATTAAAAAACAGCTTAAGTCAAACTCAACAAATAATTTTGCTTGATAAAATGTTCGGCTTATGCAGTAAACACAGGCAAAACTGCACTTCGCAAACGCAAGCGAAAAAACGACAAAATAGAAATTAGGAAAGAAAAAGCAAAAATAAGCTTTGAAAAATAGAATAACTGACTATGTGCCGGAATCGAAACCACCGACTTTGATATTGCGAATCTAACGTCCTCTCCATCTCCGCCATGAGCTTCGATTGAAATAAGTAAAGACAAGGCAACAATAAAAAAAGTATCGAACACATGCTATTAAGCTGCCAGTGCTATGCACCAAAAGTGAACACCAGAGAGTGAAAAACAAGCAAATATTTTTCTTTTTAATTTTTCAGCTCATTTTAAAAAGGAAGCACAAAAAATTTTAATTGAGCTTAATTTGCCCTGAAAAACGCAAAAACAAGAAGCCCGAAAAGGATAAACTCTATCCAAAGTCTTTCAAGCCCGGGTAACATCATTCGAAGTCGAAAAACTTTTCAGTATACTGAAGCAAAAACTGGATGATTGTTAGAAAATTTTAATGGAAAAAATGCAGAAGTGTCGAATTACGCGTTTATCAGATGAAAATTGAAAAAAGTTTAACAAGTACTTTTTAGGACCATAATTTACTTTTTTCGCTGCCCGGTGAACACTTTTCGAACACTGTTTCCATTAAAATGAACACTATTATATGCGAGTTGGGTTAGAAAAAGCAAATTCGTAATATAAGACAACGCTCGCTAGTTCGCTGTGAAAATACGTGATAAAATAGGAGGGGGGAGCGCGCGCCGAAAAAACTCGATTTTTTGGTAAACATTTTCCAAAAAGTGCCTAAAAAAGCATTTTGGGGCAGTTTTTTTTAATTTGCCTCCCGCGCATCAAATTTGGTCAAAACGGGGTCTTTATAGTGATTTGGGAGAGCACAGACAATCAATTTAGCCGACCTAAAAAAATCTTAGATCCACCCCTGGTCATAATATTATAAGCTTATGCTTCCATTAGACAAAATTTTTCGTGTTGTCAGACCAATTGCCCCGAGGATACGAAATTCGAAAGCTACAACTCGATCATGAAAAATCAAGTACACCAAATAAACTTCAGTGATGTGTGGCAACATATTAAAGACATATCCATCGAATTTGGACAAATAAGTTCGTCAAAAATTTCAAAAAAATAAATTGAATCCTTTTAACTCAGACCAGGGATTGATCAAGATATCTTATTGAGTCGGGGGATTTCTAAAAAAAAATTAGAATTGCTATTGGGTTTTTATGTACACTGTAATTCTCTTAAAAAAACTGCGCTGAGAGGAATTATTTTTAAAAAATAAATGTTTTGACACTTAATGGTAAACTTTGACCAAATTTGGACACCATTTTTTGTGAGGGGATCCTGCAGATACTTTTGAGGGAAATCGGAACATCCAGTGATTTGCCTTGATACAAGTTTTTTTACTCATTTTCTGAATTTTTTCGGAATTACTTGTTTACTAAAAAAAATCCAAAACATTAAATTGCGTGGAAACAAAATGAGCTCCACTTGCATACCGATCCCTTTCTCCAAAAAAACAGTGCCTAGATTTCAGTATTCAAGTAGATACCACCGTATATATCTAATTATTACTACTATCATGAGCAAGAGAATTAGAAAATGATTCAATTAAGCAAAGGGCTTATATCATTTACCAGCACTGGTAATATCAAATGAAGATGCTCCATGAAATTTAAGGAAAAAAACAAATATCCGTTGTAAAATAGACTTTGATATCGGTTGATATTTATTAAACAGCATGGGCGAGAGAGCACCTGAACCGAAAAAAAAAGTGAAAATCATATGAACAGATTAAAGGTATCCAACGGATATGCTTTTCGATCTCTTTTGTTGTACCAATTAGGAATATATTCCAAGCGGAAAAATATCGAAGCAGATACATCAATATTGCTTAATGAATCCCCTTCTCAGCATGCAAAAATGGTTCACAGTGCATGAAAAGACATCAGAGCGAAATATTTTTTTTGATTAGGTGTATTTTATCATTTAATACACAGCTAAAAACCTGGAAAAAAGGGAAAAGCCGCTTCGGATAACAAAATTATTATCAAGTGTCCAGTCACCGAATTATACAGACGAAGGCAGCGCTTCGCCTATGCTACTTAACATACAGTTTGAATACATTTTTAAATCAGACAGTGCTTTTTGTTTGAGTATTACAGGGAAGTCGAACAAAACGGTTTCTTAATGGGAGAACCAGGCATTTTCTTTTGTCAATATATTTTTTCAGTCTGCAAGACGCTGTCTAAAATGTCGTCTATCTATTGACTGCAAATTCTGACTGAAACCTAAAGCTCTTAATTTTAAGCCTCAAATTATGAAAAACAAACTACGTCGTCTAAAAAAACTATTTTACAAAAATAACAAACGAAAAACGTTGGTGTAGTAACAATGGTCTTAGAATAGCTACCGGAAACCCCCCCTTCTGTCCCTCTGAAAGCATGTGACGAGAAAAATAAAATAAAGTAGCTCTATAAGCGGGAATCAATTTTTAATGCGCGTGAAACAAGGAGAGAGACAAAAGGAAAATGAGAGAGATTGAAGCGGTCATCAAATAAAGCAATAAAACAGAACACAGTACTTCGCCTTTGATCTTAAGCATATGTCCAATATAATGTATCCCCGGGGATGGGGGGTACTAGTACGTATTCGGGTGGCTTAAGTTTCCAACACTTAGTCATTTCAATTTTTTCGCACCATTTCGGCCATTTCACGTTTTTGATTCTAATTTTAGGAAAACGCTATTCCGAACTAGGTTAAGTGCTGAAAGCGAGCAAATGATTGTATAGCGCATGAAAGAGTGAAAACCGAAAAATAACAATAAACACACGCAGAAAAAAAAATGTTTTTTTTTCACAAAAATTTGCATAGGCAGACCTAAAATAAAAATGAATCTCATTAAACAATCTACCCCACAGTTAACTTTGTATCAAGTTACTACTATTGGTGATCAAAATATGCAAACATGTTTTCCAATGGTTTATCAACTTAGTTGAAAAAAGAACAAAAGTAAAACGCGATGTGAAAAGTCATGGCTGGTTAAAAATTAAAAACTCTGTGCTACCTTTCTGAATAGGCATTCACACTCACAATATCAATAATTTTAGAGTTAGACTAAGGCATTTGTTAAGACCTTTGTTTTCTGCATTCCATAAAAATTAAGTTGAAAATGCTAAGAAGATTGTCACCGAACTTTGATATAGCAGTTTTCTATAAAAATTATTAGCATATACTTTTTAGGTTAACAAGGATAGCCGGTTGATTTGCAAGAAGCACAGAATGTTCCGACCATATTCATGAAAACTACAAATAAAAGTTCTTCAAATTATTAAGTTCTTCAAATTAATTTAGTTTTTTTGTACAGGTCAGGATGATAAAACTATACACATGCGTGAACAATTAGTAAATTCGGCATTATCGATAAAAGTTGCCTTCAAAAAAAGAATACCAAACAAAAAGTTGGAAGAAAAATTTCAAAAAAAAAATTCGAAATTTTTTCTATTTTTTAACAATAATTATACATTTTTCTGAATTTTTTAGCCAGGGAAGTGCCAAATATAGCTTTCAAAACGAGTTTTGAAAAATCATGTTTTTTTTAGCCTAAATGACAAATTTATCAAGTTATCGTCACTTTATTTGGTCGAAATTACACAAAAAAACCATAAATTTCAAATCGGTTCCTCTAGACAGTGGATTTAATTTTTAATGTCGTTCGAATCAAGACTGAAAGGGTTTTAATATGATATATCACTCAACCCAGTCCGATGATTATTTGTGGTACCTGATTTTGCGTGGAAAACAAACAAAAAAACTAAAACACACCCTAGTACAAAGTTCCACCCCATTTTTAATGGTCGAAACAAAAAGGCTCAAATGAACAAACCGAGATATCTCCGAACACTTACGCTTCTCATTTCAGACCATATGCGCCAGTGACTTCGACATTCTGGATACCTTCTGAGCCTTATTGTTCCAATCACTACGCTGATATTTTATTTTAGATAATAATTTCAAATAGTTTAATACAGCCTGATTCTTCCAGTCGCTACGCTGATATTTTGTTTAGAGATTTTAAAAAATAATCACTTTAATTGCAAAATGAAACTAGTTTCAAATAGTTTAATATAGAAATCTAGCTGGTTTCCTAACTTTCGCTGATGATCGTACTGTATTTTGTTTCATTCTTTCAAATGAGCTGATGTTTGTTTCATTTTATACCGTTTCGTTTTATAATGCTGGGGGACTAATAAAACAGACCCGATTGATATAGTAAATCTATTACTATCAACGCATGGTACTTTTTTCAGACACTCTAGAGATGAGGGGTGAAACTATACTGCACTTGTTTTGGTTTGACTCCAGTTGAGTCGAAGCGCCTTTTGACGTGGCTTCTTTGCTTACCTTTTGGGCCTTCCGTTTGTCCGCTCGTTGGTTCTGCTGGTAGATGCGACTGAAGTTTGACACGATGACTGGCACGGGCAGAGCTATCACCAGCACTCCGCACAGACTGCAAACTCCCCCGAAAATCTTGCCCATCGGAGTCTTCGGCACCATGTCTCCGTAACTAACACACATAACTCATGCCACAATAAAACAATTGATCATATTAAAAGAGCAACCGGTTAGTGTACAGTTACTTTGTGGCAACAACAACAATACAGCCGATCTTCTTTTCTAATCCGTTTTTCTAGGAGGGTTTATAAGTACTTTTCTATACCGTTTCTTATATTCGAGTTTTTTCTATTCCGTTTTTCTAGGAGAGTTTGGGTTTCTGGGAGAGTTTTTCTTACGAGTCAGAAAAATGTAATTTAAGAAACAATCACAAAAATTGTGTCTTTTCTCATCTTTCTTGTCAAAATATCAGCCATAGAAAACATTAGAAGAAAACGATACTAGCAAAAATTTCAGTCATACTCACATCGAGGTTTCAAGCTTCCCTGCAAAGCTTTCAATTGCTCAAAATAAAACCACAAAAAAAACTGAAGAAATCCGAAAAGCATTCTAATGCTCAAAATCCGAAAAGTTGCTAGTGCACAATAACTATTGAGAAACAAAAACTGTTAAGCGGTAACTGAGCAGACAATACTAGTGTAGACGACAGTTGAGCCAAAAAAAACTTTTGAGCTATAAAAAAATTCGAATCTCCCAAGGTTCAAGTTCTACGCCCCTCCCCTCCGAAAGCACAAATAAAACTAAAAACATTTAGATCATTCAAACAACAAATCTTGAGGCAACTAAACAGGTACAAATATAACATCAGGCAGAACCATTCAAGCTGAAGACAACTTAAAGCGAGTTGGTTTGCCACTAACAATGGAGAAAAAATCAAACAGAATTGGCTAGATATTGCATCAGAACAGACCAGACATGTCAAGTGATTCAAGTTAAACTAATTACTAACCCGAAAAACGTCTATATTCCGATTCAAAAACACTAGACAAGAAAAACTGACGATTTTACAAACATTTAAGCCATAACCAATAGCCGATATTCAGAATAAAAACTTCACTTCAATCACACCAAAGACAAAAAAATTGAACCAAAAAGTAAAACCGATTAAAAACACAAAAAATTCAGTCTTTTGAACTAATTCTACAAAGAAACAAGGATAGCCGGTTACTGTGCAAGTAGCACAGAATGCTCCGACCATAGTCTTTAGAAAACTACGGATAAGAACGTTTTTTTTTCTAAGATAGTGTAGTTTTTTCTGCTTGGTATGATAAAAGGATCTGACGTAAGAATTTAATTTAGGCATATTAGGCAGTCATAGTAATATAGGCATATTGGCCAAAAAATTTTGCAGAAAAATGACTAGAAAAACTAAAATGAAATTTTAAAAAAATATAGATTTTTTTTCAAAAATTTTTGCAGAAAATTTTTGAATTTTTTGAACTTTTTGGTTCCCAAAAAGTAGCTAAAAACTCTAAAAACTAGTTTTAATTGCTCAAAACTAAATTGTCAGATCTTAAATTAGGCATAAATCAGCTTGTAAGCTGATTTATTTGCTCGAATTAAGACAAAAAAAAATGAAAAATTTCAAATCGGTTTTTCTCGACTTTTTTGGAACTTTTTCTCGAAACTTTTTAATGTGGTTCGAATCACGACTGGAAGGGCTTTAAAAGGATATATCACTCATTTCAGTCCGATGATTACTTGTGGTGCCTGATTTTGCGTGGAAAACAAAATAACTAGGACAAACCGAATACAAAGTTCCTCCCCATTTTCATGGTCGGAACAAAATCAACCCGAAACTGAAGAAAAAGCATTTGGAGCAAGAATTTTACAGAAAGTGAAACAACAGAGAAGTAGCACAGAAGGTTCAGATCAGCAACTTTAACACAGAAAACAAACCACAGCTTCGCGATACAGCACAAAACTAGCAAGGGTATCAAAAAATAACAAGAGCAATCCTGTTGAACAAGTGATTCTGTTAAGCAAGTTGTTAACCCAGATAAAAAGCCTCTATTCCGATTGGACAACGCATGCTAATCGCAAGCGTAATGATTTAGTTTGAAAAATGGAAAAAATTAGACAAAATATTCTGGACACAGGCAGTTTTTTAAAATTTTATTTGTTCACGAACAATTTGCTTCAATATGTACCACGCTTGACTCCCTGCTTTTTTGAAGTGGTCAAAGTCGGGCAGGCAAAACATGAGCTAATCCATTGTTCGTTCAGGTAATTCAATGAAGAAACGGTCAAAACAATAAAATTTCGGCCAAAAATACAAAAATATGAAAGTAATGGTAACATAAAGTCAAATCATGCCCAAAAAAATCATATCAAAGATGATCGCTACTAAACTGTAACTATCGTCCCCAGTGCTCCTATTTTCTCGAGAAAAGCAATGACAAAAATACATGAAGGCAAAGTTGCGCTCCGCAAACACTAGCGAAAACACGACAAAAAACAGCTTTATAAAGTGAAATAAGAAAAAATAGAAATAATCCTTGAATTAGTGTAACTTTGCTACTTATCGGATTCAACCCTGCGACCTCAAGATTTGGAGTCTCGCACCCTGCCCGCTCGGCCATGGACGCTTAACAAACAACAAACCCTCGTCACGAATAACGCAGCTACGTATGCTAATAAATTGCCAATGCCATGCAGCAAAAGTGGCATCAAATGAAAATAGACATATTTGGCATGTAATAATATGGAATATAAAAAACTGAAGGCATCCACGCTAACTCTACATGTATTAAACTCGAAAGCATAAATCTAAATTTTGTATAAATTAAGCGTTTCAAAAATATTGCGAGATACATTGAGTTTCTGATATCAAGTTTTTATTATTGTACTGCTATTTGAAGCAAATAGCTTCTTCTGGTTCATTTGAACAATGAAAAATGCTTCAACTGTGTTAACATTACTATTCGAATGCCAAAGCTAACAAGGTGCCTCAAAAGTGGCACGAACCTTTGCGACTTAGGTTAAAAAAAAGAGTAAATTACAAAAGGGCCCTTCCGTTAAGGTACGGTGGTGCACAAGCTGGATAGGGCCCATACCAGCATTATGTAAATACATCAATAAACAATATTGCAGGAATTAAATCAAGCCAGCATTTAATGCGTTGTCATTAAAGGTATTTACTTCAAACCGTCCCTCCTCTATAATAGAATTGAAACTCGTCAAAACTTCAGGCAAGTGTTGAACTACTTTACCACCGTTCCAACTGACTTGATCTTGTTCCGGAATATCTAAACCTAGCGACCAGAAGAATATACAGGAACGAAAGCTTCACCGAGAACTGGTACGCTGCTCAAAACATGATTTTTTTGGATATCGGATTAATTTTGATGAGTGTTTCGTTTACCTTTCCGAGTTTTACCTTTGAGCAGTCATGAGCTATCCCACTTGCAACAAAAGTATATGCCAACATTCGATAAATTCATCAAAAAACAAAATTCTCAAAAAGTATTTCAACTCGAATTAGTTACGTTAAAGAAAACTTGTTGAATTCCTTTTGAAACGATTACAACCAAACAAACCAATCTTTTGATTCAGCAATAATACGAGCACCACTCATCGCTTCCTTATACAAAGAAAACTAAACAAAACAATTGAAACAAATGATAGCCTGAAAAATTCTATAAAAAACTAAAATTTTTGCAATTCTTATTAAATTAACATTTGAGAACTAGCTTCTGAACCAAATTATGGGTAAGTTAGTTTCCAGTTTGAAAAATAACTTTCAGATCCCTAGCTTAAAGATGAATTTTTGATTTTGATCGAGAAAACTACATTTTCATTCGTCCACGGTAAAAACTCAATACAAAGTGCTCGGTTAGTTAACAAAACATTTTATGTAAGTTTTGAAAGCAATGTAATAGTAGTAGTAGTATTAGAAGAAATGCTACGAGGGATCATTGTTTTATTACAGTCTTCACATCCCCGCTATAAAATATATGGAGAAAAACTTTAGAAGAAGTAAACCTTTCAGAGATATATTTAGGTTATAGTCAGATTCAAATACATACCCGAGAGTCGTCATGGTGACAATAGTATACCAGAAAGCGTCTGGTATGCTATAAAAAGTGGTATTGGCGACTGACTTCTCGGCATAGAACATAACAGTTGCAAAAATAATGATAGCCATTGTTAAAGAAAATAACAAGAAACCTAATTCTCGAGCACAGCTTTTCAGTGTGTAGCCTAATATACGTAAGCCTTGAGAATGCCTGGAAAATTTAAAAATTCTAAAGACACGGAAAACTCGTAAAGTAACAAACGCTCCACTGAGATCATTGTCTTCTTCGGATAAAAATAAACCAATATAATAGGGAAGAATAGCGACAACGTCAATTACACTCATGATGCTTCTCATAAATTTGCATCTCTCAGGAGCAGCATAAAGACGCAAAATATATTCAGCTGTGAATATCATTACACATGCAGTGTCGAGACAGAAGAAGATGAGTTCGTAGCGTTCTCCACAGGGGACATCTGTGAATGTTCCTGGAAAGGGTGAGCACCTGATTGTTTCAACGACATTGGCTAGCACTGATACGGCAATAAAGAAACCAGTAACATAATAAAAAACTAAAGCAGCTGTACTGGTATGCGGGTTTTCAAATGCTCTCCACATTGTTTCTCGAAAATTGGCGGGTGTTGGTCCATCGCCCGATTCTGACAACTTGTCATCCATCATCCTTTCACTGTTGTCTCGCTTGCGATCTCTATAGTCTTCGAAGCAGCAGTCGCCCATTATATCTGGCATAATTCCAAAAAACGAAAGTTCTTCGTCATAGGCACTAATACATTCTGATTTGCAATAATGCAAATGACCAGTACGGTAGAAGTTTAAGATATAACGGAAAATGTCTGGATCCCGATCAAAAAAATATTCGCCATTCGTGTCGTCAAAAAAGAACTCCTTTTCATTGCTGCCAAGTAATGTGTCTGGATATTTTTCCAATGTGCTTCTCATCGTTTCGTATCTTCGACCGCTAACATTAATGATGACTTTCTCGTCTTTGATATTTTTTTCTTGTTGAGGGGGAGGGGGGAGAGGATTTGAAGCAATTGGAACCCAGCCAATTGCAGCTGCTCTAGCAAAAGGTAACCAAGCTGCTACCGATGCCATGCTCACATTGCACGATCTTAAATCAGGTAATAATGTTTTGATCGAAAATAACTTCAAAAATCGACAATATTGCGGCTAACAGAAATAGCCATTATAACGTTAAATCTATGCAGATATTAAATGCTTTAATATTTCCTCAGAGGAAAAGGAAAACGAGCACAAAGATTACTATAGAAAATAAGAGGGATTATTTTCTACAAGCAAGATGTTACTTTTTCGAATCATACGAATTTTTCATAAGGAAGAGTTGACAAAACAATTTATGCAACTTCGTACGTGAAAAAACGCACGTGCAATATAGTTGATGTTTTTGCCTTTTGATTTCTACATTTTGAAAGAGAAAAATCTAATTTTTTTTCAAGTATACCTACGGGTGAAGGCTTTTTTGCCCCCCATTGAGTAAAAACAAGTCATGAGTCAACAACAACTGACGGAATCTCAGCTACCAATTACTCATGAAGTGCTGATTGAAACGGAGACAAATTTCAGAAATGCGCTAACAGCAAACAAATCGACGACACAAACAAAACAAATCCAAATAATGAAAATCATCCCCCCATTCTCGAGAGAAATTGTAAGGTCAGCTGAAAATCTGGCTCAGGCATATCGAAGTTGTGCTTCCGATATACTTAAACAATTCCCCACAACAATGCAACAGAAGATGACAATCTCAAAAACAATAACCGTGACGAAAGATGACCGCAAACTTCATACACTGACAGTTATTGCTCCCCCCGAAGCAGAGCAATTCATAACTAGCATCAAAAGCGAAGGAATCATTCTTCTTAACAGGACGGTATTTCCCATGGGATGCTTTCCAAGGTCTCATAGACCCAAGAACATTTACCCTAAACTAGCAAAAATCAAATTGTCGAACTTGCCTTATGTATGCAACGATATCGAAGCGAAATTAATTCTCCAATTGCCAGAAGACATAATTCATAGCCCCATATTCCAACGTGAGACCTGTATCGTAACTGAACCGGGTCAGTATGTTTACACAGGAAGAGCAATTTTAGAAGTTAAAATACAAAACGAAGAACAAGAGAAAAAGCTGAAGGACTGGTCTTATAAATCGAGAATGGATGGCTTCAAAATGTGGGAAGGTGTAGAAATCTCGTTTCACATACCTTCACTACATGAATGTCAAAAATGCAAGATGTCTGGACGCCAAGAAAAAGGTCATCACGATGATTGGTGTAACATAGGGAACCAAATAACCAAAAATCCAAATAATCACTACCCACAAAAACCAAGCTCCAATAATGCCAGCGACGAGAAAAACGATGACGAAACAACAATCGATAAGTTTTGTGATGGTACCGAAAATGAAGAAGATAAGAATGTTGAAGCACCACCATCTGGAGTTTTGATTGATGAATCTAAAACAAACAGTGCAGCTACTCCAAGCGAAGAAAAACAAAAGGATGAGGTTCTCAACAATCAGGTCGTAGATTTTCATTCTTACTCTGCAAAAGAAAAAAAGACAAACTAAATATCGAAAATAACAAACGAAAATGTTCCTCTGACGGAAGAATGCTTACAAAAAGAGAGCGTGAAACTTCACCAACCTCTTGGTCAGTTTTAACACGGAAGAAAGGGCCAAAAATGAAATCTAAAAATAACGGAGAAGACTTGGTTGGAGGGAAGTTTTAGCAAAATTTTTATGTGCGAAAAACCAGATATTTTTTCCGTTAATATTTTTAGCATAGGAAATCCAGCTAAATTACACTCACTTATCAAAAAATGCCAAGTTTTAAAAAAATCACCCAGTTTCATTTTGTGCATTCAGGAAGCAAAAATTTCGAAACTTACAAATATACATTTGAGTTTACTGGATAAATATAATGTTATATTCGATTTCATACCGGGCTCAAATAATTCTGGTGGTTTCTTAACATTATGGTCATCAAACTTGAGTCCTGCTAAAAGAATTGCTTCAAGTACAGGTTTTCAATTGTTAAAGTTTGTAAAACTTGATTGGTTTGTTATCAACGTTTATGCGAACCCAATTTCATTCCGAGCAACTTTGAATTCCCTGAAATTAAGCATCAGATTTTTACCTAACAAATCGAAAATTATCATGATGGGTGACTTTAATGCGCTGAGTTATGATAATATTAACAGTTCTTCAATACTTAAGTTAAATGATGCACGTATCAAACGATTTACCCAACTCAAAGAACAAATTCTTGACTGTTTTGGTTTTGTTGATTTTGCACTCAAGAATGATTTTTGTGATTATACACATTATGACAAACAACATAAAACTTTTGCACGCATAGATTATGTCTTCATAAAATTCGAAACAGAGTATGATTCTATGCAAAGCATTCAAATATCAATATCTGATCATTTGCTCTTACACGTTTTTGTTAAGCCATCTAACTTGTATCAGCGCGGCCCTAGTTACTGGAAATTAAATGAAGAAATTTTAAACAACAACGCCAGCTTAATTCGTGAAGACCTAAAAAATTTTTACGAAAATGAATCACCAAGTAGTTACGAAAACTTTAAGCACAATTTTCGTGACCTTCTGAAGTTTATTCAAGAGAACAAAAAGCGTGTAGATCAGAAAGAACTTAATTTATTGAAGTATCACGAAAATGTTCTCAGAGATTGCATTCACAGCGGAAAAGGTCCGAACCCTAATTTGATTGAAAAATATCATTTGGTGCTGGAACATCTTCAAAAAGTTTCCAAGGAAAAAGATTTTTCAGATTATCGAAAAATTCAGAAAACACTCAGCTATACATTCGAGGGTGTTCCCAAATTTTGTAGTCAATGGACATCAAAGAACACAATTAATTCAATCAAGAGAATTCAAGTGGATCAGAACGTTTATCATACGGATGAAGATATTCTTAATCAATTTCGAAAGTATTTTTCAAATATTTTTTCAAATAGTTCTACAACAGACTCCGATCAACTACTAAAGACATTTTTATCAAAAAATAAACTCGAAAAAAATGAGAATGATGGCTATAATTACTTTACAGAAGATGAAATTCACTTGGCTATAAACAAACTGAATTTGAAAAGTTCGCCTGGACCAGACGGCCTTACTTCTAAGCTATACAAGACTTTCACGGATGAGTTTTGTTCGATTTTAGCTAAAGTTTTTAATCATTTTTTTCATGGTGGAAAACTTCCAAACAGCTTTTATTTAGCAATAATCAAACTGATCCCGAAATCTGAAAATGCCATAGCAGTACAAGATTTTCGCCCCATCAGCCTTATGAATACTGATGCGAAAATCTTTGCCCATGTAGTCTGTAATCGAATTAAAAATGACCTTTGCAAAGTTGTAAAAAACCATCAGCACGCGTATTTGCCTGGAAGACAAATGCACACAGCAATACGAAAATTGAAAAAAGCGATTACTCCAGAACGATTGGCTACCCGAGGTTCATGTGCTGTAAAATTAGACTTTTCTAAAGCATTTGACAGAGTTGACAGATCACTTCTCATCAAAATTTTGAAAGGGTTAAACCTTGATGAGCTTTCAGTTAGAGCTATTGAAACTTTGTATTTAGACTCAAAAGCAGTAATTGAGATAAATGGCTTTTTATCAGCCAGCTTCAAAATTTATCGCGGTGTGAGACAAGGTTGCCCTCTTTCCGCTTTTTTATTCATAGTTTTTATCGAACCCCTTCTTCAAGCAATTGAATCTACAGAAGCAATTGAAGGTTTCGGGATATTGTGCCCCAAACTAGTTTCATATGCAGACGACATAACTTGCCTTATCAAAATCCGATGTATTGACAGGTTGTTTCGCTTAATCGATACATTTTGCAAACAAACTCAAATGATGATTAACATAAGTAAAAGCGAAGTGCTTTCCATACCTGATTTATCACCCTATAAAACAGTCAAGGAAACAAAATTACTTGGTGTCTTGTTTTACACTTCCCAAAAAATTGAAAATATTGAACTATTGTTGAGTTCACAAATTCAAAAACATCGCGGGTTAATTTCACTTAGTAAATCTTTGAGGGCCAAATCATTAACACTGTCAGTTTATGTTCTCCCTAAGTTTTTTCATTTGGCTCGTCATACTACAGTTAACTTGGATACTGTTAGTAAATGCCAAGAATTATTAAATGCAGAATTGAAAAAAACAAGCAGACTCGACATAAGAAAAGAAGTTTTATATCACCCCATCTTAGATGGTGGGATAGGCTTACCATGCCTACAACTTAAACTTTTTAGTATGAAAATTATCGATTTCTTTGCTTCTGATATGTCAGATCAAAATAGTTTATTACCAACAGATTCAATTTTACCGAAAAAAATCGAAAATTTGTTGAGAAATACGAATATCTCTATTGAAAAAAGTTCAAGTGATTTTGCAATATTTTCAAACAGTACCAATAGCCGTTTAATTATAACAATACAGACAAAATCGCGAGATGTTTATTATTTCTGCTTACAAAACTGTAGTTTTCATCGAGCTGCGATTTTCCGCTTGGGTTTTGCAGCAAACCGTTACCTCTGTTCAGAAGAAGAATTGATTAAATTTACAGGCAAAGTTTGGAAAAATTCAATGCTTGATGTATGGGAAAAAAACTTTCTTTATAAATTTGCATACGCTGTTTTTAAAGATCGAGAAAAGCGGTGGTTTTTATTTCTCGAGAATGCCCCCGAATGTTTTTATTGTAATTTAGAATGCGAAACATTCGAACACCTAATTTTCAGTTGTCCCTCGCTACAACCTTCAAGAAACATATTACAGATTAACAATTGGCGTGACGTTTTTGTATCAACCAACATTGCAAGACTTAAGTATGTTGTTTCGGTTATTCGTGGTGCATATTCAAAATCATCGACGTCATGGAAAATCAACTTGCAAACATTTGTGTCATGGGAAGTATGGAAGATGAGAAATACAAACTGCTCCTTCTGATATAAACTATAAGGAAATGTAAGACTTCAGCAACAAACCAGGATACCCGGTATCCGGTAAAAGTAATGTCAATTGAACAAATATGATGTTATTTGTTGTACATATTGATTATGAAACTCTTAACAAAACAAATTTAATTTACAATTTGAAAAAAAAAAAAAAAAAAAAAAAAGATTTTTTGCCTTCTGATTTCTACATTTTAAAAGAGAAAAATCTAATTTTTTTTAAAGTATATCTCCGGGTGAAGGCTTTTTTGCCCCCCATTGAGTAAAACCAAGTCATGAGTCAACAACAACTGACGGCATTTCAGCTACCAATTACTCATGAAGTGCTGATTGAAACGGAGACAAAATTCAGAAATGCGCTAACAGCAAACAAATCGACAACAGAAACAGAACAAATCCAAATAATCAACATCATCCCCCCATTCTCGAGAGAAATTGTAAAGTCAGCTGAAAATCTGGCGCAGGCATATCGAAGTTGTGCTACCGATATACTTAAACAATTCCCCACAACAATGCAACAGAAGATGACAATCTCAAAAACAATAACTGTGACGAAAGATGACCCCAAACTACATACACTGACAGTTATTGCTCCCCCCGAAGCAGAGCAATTCATAACTAGCATCAAAAGCGAAGAAAGCATTCTACTTAACAGGACGGTATTTCCCATGGGATGATTTCCAAGGTCTCATAGACCCAAGAACATTTACCCTAAACTAGCCAAAATCGAATTGTCGATTTTGCCTTATGTATGTAACGATATTGAAGCGAAATTGATTCTCCAATTGCCAGAAGACATAATTCATAGCCCCATATTCCAACGTGAGACCTGTATCGTAACTGAACAGGGTCAGTATGTTTACACAGGAAGAGCAATTTTAGAAGTTAAAATACAAAACGAAGAACAAGAGAAAAAGCAGACGGACTGGTCTTACAAATCGAGGATGGATGGCTTCAAAATGTGGGAAGGTGTAGAAATCTCGTTTCACATACCTTCCTTACATGAATGTCAAAAATGCAAGATGTCTGCATGCCGAGAAAAAGTCATCACGATGATTGGTGCAACATAGGAAACCAAGTAACCAATAATCCAAATAATCAGTACATTAGCCTAATTGTTGTGATAAACTTATTAAATAGATTTGTTATGTTTGATGTTTGTGCCTGTATGTGGAGCGCCCTCTGAGGGATTTTAGAGACAGGTCTGTCAAGTGGCTTTCTGTGGGAAGGTGGGAAACTGGAACTGGCTTGAGGAGTCTGGTGGTGCGCCGCTGGACCTACTGAGCTCGGGTGAGATTGTTCCTTGTTTTTGATTTTTCTAATTCGATTTTAAAATTTAAATTAATTTAGTTGTCTTTTTTTTATTTGCTGTGTGCCATTCAGCCAGATTGGCACAGCGCGACCTTCCGGCGGGACAGAAAAAAACGAATAAAGGCCTTAGTAACGAAAAAGTATTGCGAAGGCGGGTAGGAATATTCTAGAATTTTTATTTTTAAAATTTCGATTGAAGAGTGAATATTTCTGAGAAATAGAAAAAGACGGCCATTTTGACTGAAAGGGACAAAAAAACAGAACAACGACAAATATTGTGGAAAATGGTCGCACAAGAGACGAGAAGTACGAAGCCTCTTATCGTGGCAACAACACACGATAAGACTCTTAGCAGTGGATATTAGTGGAGAAGGAAGCTTCAGTGGGGAAGGAATATTCCACGGAACCCTCCCGTGCCACAAATTGGGAGAGATAACAGCGTTATCTCGGGAAGATTGCGGGAGCGGAGGCTTGGTCCCCCAGAGACTGTTGTATGTGAAGGGACTATATAAAACTGACTTTGTAGCTACTTGGATGTCGTAGAACTCTGAATGAACACCGGTATAATTTGATATTTTAGAATATGAGTAGCTAGAAAGAGGAAAGGATTTAATATAGAACTGTCACACAAAAACATATTAAAATAGGTTGTTCGAGCCGTGTTTTTAATGGCAATCACGTAGTCTGAGGATCCGAGACTCAGCTATGTGGTTGTGTTCGCATGTAAACGAAAGCTGATCAAAAGTCGTTTGACTGATGGCCTAAAAATAGTAACTTTTTACTTAGCCCTAAAAAGACCAGAAAATCAACTGGCAAGGTCGAGACGGTGAAAAACGAGTAGGATTAAGGTAACTGACGTCTGCCAGTCGTTAATAGGTACTTTTTCTAAGCTCCGTCGCTGTGTAGTATTTGGGCGAATGTTACACTGATTTGTAAAATTCCCACTAACCGCTTATCATGGGTTAGTTCAGTCCCCTAAAGTCCAGTCAAAATCCTTTTTTTTTTTACCTCTATGCTGCTTCAAGATGAGGAAAAACAACAAAGAATGTACAAGCAAAGATTGCTTAAAACCTTCAGGACTGATAAATTGGATTAGATGTGATTTTTGTTCTAGTTGGTATCATATCAGTTGTGTAAATATTTCTCTTAGCGACTCTAAGAAAACCCAATGGTTTCAGTGTCCTTTATGCATTGATGTAAAATCTGTTAATAAAGCAACAGTAGGTAATGATTTAGTCTAGACAATTATGTTAATACAGCCATCTCAAATGTCCGAGTACTCAAGAGAGTACCAAAAGACTCGCGTGTTCCCTTGGCGGAAAGTCTGTCGGACAAAATAAATGACATCGTCTACAATGTAGAAGATGTTACAAAATGGCTAATTTTTTTAACGTCGTTCTTGTTTTTTTTGGAGCAACCGAAAAGAAGTGTACGCAAACAGACCACAAGCATGAGCTCTTTGATAAATAAAAAAATTCGAGCAAATGACGTGTCACTTCCAAAACCCCATCCCCAAGTTTCAAGCCCGCCTCTGAGTGACCTCGAGCAGAGAATAAAGTTAATAAGTAGTAAGCTCGATGAAGGAATTGTAAAGGGAGGAATAAGGCTTGCTGCTTCGGATGACAAAATAGCTCCTTTTTCAACTGATAACTATCAAAAATTGTTGTCTAAGCACCCGCAGCGAGCCAAATTTGCAGCTCCAAATCCAGAAAAGTTGGATAGTTTTTTCGTAACCGATTTTGACCTATACAAAGCGATAATGTCCTTTCCAAACGGATCAGCAGCAGGTCCTGATAAAGTGGTTCCTCAAATTTTTAAAAATCTTGTTAGTAAGTCGAATGGCAGTGCAGGACTTAATTTTCTGAAATCGCTTACTAAGCTGATAAACCTCATTGGAGATGGCAAAATACCCGAACCACTAAGACCTTTCTTTTTTGGCGCAAAGCTTATCGCCCTCATAAAGATCTACGGAGGGTTGAGACCGATTGCCATAGGCAACACGCTGAGACGTATCGCGTCTAAATGCGCTGGAAGCAAGGCCCTCTCCGAGCGACAAAAATTTTTCGGAAACGTACAGGTAGGATGCGGTACCAAACGAGGAGCAGAAATAGCTGCGCACTCGTTTCGAAACCTAATTGAACGCGACGACAATCCAAAATGCACTGTTATTTTAAAACTAGATTTTAAGAATGCCTTTAACTCTTTAAACAGAGAAACAATGCTGAATCATGTTTATTCAAATCGCCCCGAATTGTATAATTACACCCATTGCGCGTATGGTAAACCTAAATACGTTTTTTACGGAAGCTCTGTCATAATGTCAGAAGACGGAACTCAGCAAGGTGATCCTGAAGCTCCACCCCTTTTTGCGGAAACAATTCATACACTGGTCAAACAGTTGGAGTCGAAAATTAACATCTGGTATTTAGATGATGGGAATTTAGCCGACGACTATAAGGTAGTACTCCGGGACCTTAAAAACATTCTGAAATTGGAACAAATTTACGGCCTGAGCTTAAACACTGAGAAGTGTGAACTTTGTTTTTTGGGAACGACTACTAGTACACAGTATAATTCAATTTTAGCACAATTTCGAAAAATATGCTCCAAAATTAAAATAAAAACAAAAGAAGAACTCCTCATTTTAGAATCTCCAATCGGCGAACTTTGCCGAAAAGAATTGGAGATGGCAAAATATCATCTACGGCGATTTGGAGTCTATCATCTACTCACATTCCGTCTGTTTTAGAACCACGACACCTCTACAGGACCGATCAGAAGCGACCAGACGGTTTGACGCTCGTTCCATGGGCTGATGGTAAGCAGCTCTTGTGGGATGTAACGGTAGTAGACTCCTTAGCTCCTTGTAGGATTAATGCCGGTCTGTTCGTAACCCTAGTACGGCTGCCGCTGAAGCGGAAGAGCAAAAAATTGACAAGTATAAAAATCTTGTAAATGATGGATAGCTTTTTCAACCGCTAGCTTTTGAAATTCAGGGCGCGGCCGGCCCCAGTACAGAAGTTTTTTTGAGCAAGCTTTGTAAGAACCTAAGCATATGCACTGAGGAACCCAGAGCAGGCAGCTTTTTAAAACAGAGAATCTCCCTGGCAATACAGATTGCGAACGCCTCTTGCGTACTCGGAACAATAAATGACAAAATAACTTTCGACGAAATTTTTTACTTGTAACACTTGTATATTATATTATCTCGTGTCGAGTTGCGTGTTCTTATTGAAGAAACGTAACCCGTATCGATTTTAATTGAAAAGGACTTAAACACTTGTCACCTTCTTTTATCATTATCACTTCCATATCTAGAAAATTCCAAGGATTTTGACTGGAATACATGATGTTGTGGATGGCCATCGACAACAGAAACAAAACAAATCCAAATAATCAAAATCATCCCCCCATTCTCGAGAGAAATTGTGAAGTCAGCTGAAAATCTGGCGCAGGCATATCGAAGTTGTGCTTCTGATATACTTAAACAATTCCCCACAACAATGCAACAGAAGATGACAATCTCAAAAACAATAACAGTGACGAAAGATAACCGCAAACTTCATACACTGACAATTATTGCTCCTCCCGAAGCAGAGCAGTTCATAACTAGCATCAAAAGCGAAGGAATCAATCTACTTAACAGGACGGTATTTCCCATGGGATGCTTTCCAAGGTCTCATAGACCCAAGAACATTTACCCTAAACTAGCCAAAATCGAATTGTCGATTTTGCCTTATGTATGTAACGATATTGAAGCGAAATTGATTCTCCAATTGCCAGAAGACATAATTCATAGCCCCATATTCCAACGTGAGACCTGTATCGTAACTGAACAGGGTCAGTATGTTTACACAGGAAGAGCAATTTTAGAAGTTAAAATACAAAACGAAGAACAAGAGAAAAAGCAGACGGACTGGTCTTACAAATCGAGGATGGATGGCTTCAAAATGTGGGAAGGTGTAGAAATCTCGTTTCACATACCTTCCTTACATGAATGTCAAAAATGCAAGATGTCTGCATGCCGAGAAAAAGTCATCACAATGATTGGTGCAACATAGGAAACCCAATAACCAATAATCCATATAATCAGTGTCCACAAAAACCAAGCTCCAATAATGCCAGCGACGAGAAAAACTATGACGAAACAACAAGCGATAAGTTTTGTAATGGTACCGAAAATGAAGAAGGTAAGAATGTCAAAACATCATAATCTAGAGTTTTGATTAATGAATCTAAAACAAACAGTGCAGCAACTCCAAGCGAAAAAAAAAACAAAAGGATGAAGTTTTCAACAATCAGGTCGTAGATTTTCATTCTTACTCTGCAAAAGAAAAAAAGACAAATTAAATATCGAAAATAACAGATGAAAATGTTCCTCTGACGGAAGAATGCTTACAAAAAGAGAGCGTGAAACTTCACCAACCTCTTGGTCAGTTTTAACACGGAAGAAATGGCCCGGAAAAGACTTGGTTGGACGGAAAATTTTAGCGAAATTTCTATGTGCGAAAAACCAGATATTTTTTTCCGTTAACATTTTCAGCATAGGAAATCCAGCTAAATTAAACTCACTTATCAAAGAATGCCAAGTTTTAAAAAAATTGCCTTAGTCTCATTTTGTGCATTCAGGAAGCAAAAATATGGGAGAGAGAGAATCTCGACCGGAAAGTTGGACAGCTGAAGCTGCACAATGGTTCAGAAGATTAAACTTGTTCAGTTAAAACTACTCATTGCAGAAAACTTCTAGAATTGCTTTACTATTATCATTTACCTAATTCTAGAGTCGCGTCACTATGTGAGTACTTAATTTAATTTTCATGACTCTACTTT